GATATATGGTTTCTTTCTTTTGTGGTTTGCTGAATTCTCTATCTTTTGGTGGTTTTACTTTGTAAAATGTTAAGATTTTCTACATTGAATGGCTTTCGAAAACTCATATTTGGAGCTATGATATCTCAAGGCTCTTATGCAATCAAGTGATTGAACCTCTTAGAAATTATTAACAAAAGGAAGAAGGTTCCATTGTAGCTAATTAAGTAATTTTCTGAATTTACCATCATATCTAATGATTTTTTTGTTTGAATTTCTTGTGTTGATTTTTCTGTGTAAGGAGCAAGACACATAGCTGCAAGTAATCATTAACTAAAACTCTGAAAACAAAACCCTTCTCTTTTCTGTCTCATTGTTCAACAGTGCAGCATCTTTATCTTTTGTAACACATTGATTGAAGACAATATTATGTACATGTGCTGGTGAGGATTTGATTTTCATCCGTGAAGTTAGGGCTTTCGCAACGAAACGATGTGTTGTTGGCTACTTTTATCCTAAAGTAGGTCCCTTTCTATCTTTTTCTATTTCAGATGATTGCATTCTTCACCACAAAATTTTTGTAATCTTTTTTTTTTGCACATCAAATCATACTTTTATTGATGACATGAGTACAAGGGGTACTCTACCCTTAATACATAAACAGCAAACTGATAATCATCCATTTAAAGATTATCCCTCCTTACTCGTTTTATCTGTCCTGCTCACTCTTTTCCTTTTCCTTCCACTATTAACTGAAAGACATGCAATTGGATTGTTAAGCCAATCAGAAATGGTAAATGTGCATCTTGCCTTTCTTGCTTTAATCCATAAGAAAGCTCTCAATTGTATGAGTTTCAGTATCTTTTCTTTTTTCTGCTTTGATTGTTGAAAAATCTTTTGATTTCTTGCTAACCACACCGACCAGACCAAAGCATTCCAGATGCAATCCCAGCCTTCTCTAATGCATGAATCTTTGTTCCCTTCCCCAAGCTCCTTGAATGTATCCCAACAATTATTCTCCAGCCTTACATTGATTCCCCAACAAGCTGCACATGCCTTCCACAACCACTTGACCAACCTGCATTTTAAAAATAGGTGATCTGAACCTCCCTCCTCTGCTTCGCACATGACGCACTTGCTGTCTTCCCATCCTTTGGCGCATCCTCTTTTCAGTAAATTGAGTTTGGTTGGGATTCTATTTAATAAAACTTGCCAATTAAATGCTGATATTTTATTTGGAAGAATTGAATTCCACACCCTCTTAAAAGTTGAAGCTCCATTTGATTCACCGTGATCTTTTATCAGCATTGAGTAAGCTGATTTGGTTGAATACTGGCCATCTTTGTTGTGTGTCTGCAGCCACTTGTCTGGGCTACCTGGTGAAATTCTCGTATCTTTGATCATGACGTTGAGCTCCTCTGCAATATCAGCTTCCCATTCGAACAGGCTTCTTCTCTAGGCAAGGTCCCATTTCCACACTCCATCCTTTGTATTGCCCGTTTGGTTGCATTTCTTCTCCTTACCTGTTGATAAGATATACAGTCTCGGAAATCTATTAGCAAGACAGCCCTCCCCGCACCAATTGTCCCACCAGAAACTCACCTTAGTTCCCTCTCCTAGTTGTATCTTAAAACCCTCTGCTAGCCACCCTTCTTTGTCTCTTACTATTGTGTTGAGACAACACACATCCCTCCACCATAATGAGCCTACACCCCTGCCTTCTCTTACCCAATCCATCCAATTATCCCTCTGATTCCCGTATTTTCCTTTAATAAGTTCTCTCCACAAACCCTCTTCACTTGATGCTAACCTTCCCCACCATTTACCCATCAATGCTAAATTAAACTTCCTCAATTCCTTCACCCCCAGCCCTCCTCTTTCTTTTTGTTCACATACCTTCTCCCAACTTACCCAATTAATTTTTTTCTTTTCTCCCATCCCACCCCATAAAAAAGATCTACGAATTTTATCAATAGCAAGAAGTATACCTTTCGAGATTAGGTAAACTTGATTGCTTGTAATTTTTGTAATCTTGATTGCTTGATGATCATATTCTTAGATCTTGCAGCAGC